AAGAGCTCACTGAGCACTGGGGAGTCTATTTGGGTTCTACCTTCCATGTCATGGACCATAAGGAGGACTCCTTTTGCTCCCTCTTGTTTTCATCCACTGCCTCTCTCTGCTTGTTCTTCAGCCCTCCCCTGTCCCAGGTACCTTGCACCTGCTGCACTTGCCTTTGCTGGTGGCCTCTGGTGTGCTCCCACACTGTCCACGTGAGGCTCACATGCCATAATGAATGCCTAGCCTAGTCTGGGTGTCAGCTTCTTCTGTGCTGCTGCCCCTTGAGTCTTTCACACTGCTTTGTTCTTTTAGCATTTCTATTTTCTTGTCTTTATTTATGAGTCTTGCACATTGTCTGCTTTTCTTTGCATTTCAGTTGCTTTTTGATTTCAGTTTGGGGATACTTTGTTTCTCCTGCTGCCTTTATATGCTTTTCTGACTCCATTTCTGTATTCTTTCTTTCGTTTAAAAAACATCATCACCTTTATCTCTTTGTCTCTCTTGCCCAGATCCCTCTCAGTTCTCTGCTAGTTCCACCACAGTGCAGAGAAAACATTGCTCTTTTATTTATAGTGAACCTGCTTGTTTGACAGACCAGCACGCCCCCTTTTCCCCACCCCATACCAGTTGGTCAATGGGTAAATTTCATTTTCAGCCTGGACTAAATGCAGACAAATCCCAACAATTGACCAGCCACTTTAGATATTTAGTTTCTCCTCTGGGAAAAAACGCTTAATGATGAAGATGCCTCCCTACCCGGTGTCTCCCTAAGGTGACAGGGATTCTCAGTGTTCTTAATGTGCTGGGAAACAGGATGGTGTCCCCTGCCTCCTCCAGTCCTGAGGTGCTGACACTTGTCTTCCTATCATTCCCAGAGGAAGCCTGAAGCTGCTGTTACGTGTGATCTGTTCTTGTAGGGTCTGCTTCAGCTTCCAGGAGGTATGCTGGGGTCTTTTGAGGGATGGCTATGAACCCCAATCCTTGGCAAAGAGGGTCAGCCACAGAGAACCACTCAGGTCAGAATTCCTATTAGGTTCTCAGCTAATTCTGGGTCCTGTCTATGTCACTTGAATATAAAAGTCACCCCAGGAAAGCTATTTTAGCAGCCTCCTTGTGTCCAATACGGTTGACCTTGTTAAATTTGCCTGTCAGCCTGGAGCCCTAAAGAGAAATGGGACAGAACAGTTCCTTTCCTTGGGCTTCCCTGATCTCTCCTGCACATGTGGGGGCACTAGTTCACACTTACATGAACTTAATAAGTACTTTGCACAATTTATTACCAAAACCCTATCAGGAAGATGCCCTATTATCATGTGCGTCTAATAAGTGAGGAGACTGAGCCTCAGGGAGGGCTGAAGGGTCAAATGCTTTACCCAGGATTCCACAGCTCTGTGGCAGAGGGTAGAGCCAGGGTGGGAACCACAGTGGCTAACTGCTCTCACACTGTGTTCTGGGGTGCCTCTCCTCTTCTGAATTCTTTGATTGCTTCCTTTTATTCCTCCTTTTCTTTCTGCTCTCTGTCCCTGGCCAGAGAGCAGAAGGTGTTTCTTCTATTCCTGCCATATTTCTTGCTACTATGAAGCTAGGTTATTTACTCTAGAAGGATTTGATGGGGTTCAATTATTTCTGAATGTAACTGGAGTTTTAGGACACAGGCCAAAACTCCAGGGGTTCCACATGTCAGGTCCGGCCAATCTGTCCCAATGTACCAAATAGAGAGATGAGTAGTGGCGAAGGACTGAGAGAGGAGAGTTATTAACATGGCACGTACAGCCACAGGAAGAGGCAAAGTAAGCACTTCAGTCTGCCTCCCCCATATAAAGATATGCATTGGGTTTAAACAATGAAGAAATGGGAGTAGGGAAAGAGAGATATTCATAATCATTTAACAGTCACCATCACCAGTTCGCTCTGGTCAGAGGTGGTCTACTGCTCGTTAGCTCCCAGTTCGTCAGCCTTGTTACAATAAGAAAGCCATTGCTGCCTGGTTAGCTGGAGCTTCAGCTCCCATCGCTAGATGTTTATCCAATGGTCCTGTCCTTTCTGGATTCCAAGATGGCTGCAATGTGACTGCAGTGGAGAACAACTCAAAGCAAAACACACAGATACAAAATGGAGTCAGGGATGTCAAGATTTTATCCTGCCTTCGGACATTTGCAGATCCACACATATCAGTGTTTTTCGGCAAAAACAGCTTCCTGTGAGATGAATGCTTTTTTTTCCCTGGGTGTTGATGTCAGGTTGGAGGGCAATGTGTCACTCTTCCACTGCCCACTTCACACCAGTTTTGCCAACTGCCAAGACTAATTGATGGCTATAATTCAGTTCCCATATGGAAATCCAGAATGTGTTGAAAGCCTTGCTCAGCTATCAGCTAGTGACATCCCTGAAGACTCAATGCAGGACTTCTTCCTCTGGCAGTGATGAAGAATTTGACAAGGGTTGATCCCAGTCTCTCCCTTTGGGGCACCCTGTAGACCAACAGCTGCTAACAAGTGGTGTCACTTATCTCAGGTCACCTCATTTCTTAATGCAGTGATTCTCAGGAAAGTTTGTACACCTGTGTATCCCAGCGAATTTGTAGACAGCTATCAGGAGGATCATTGGTCAGAAGCTTCCTGGAGCAAAAATGTAAAACCCTATCTGAAAAAGGAGTGGGCAGGGAGCTGAGGATGTGGCTCAGATGGGAGAGCACCTGCTTAGCAAGCTTGAGGCCCTGTGTTCAAGGTACTACAATACCTCAGGGGAAGACAAAAAGAAAGAAAGAAAGAAAAAAAACCCAAACAAATTTGGGCTCCAAATCTACTGAATTTGAAACTCTGGGAATTTTATCTGATGCATATTCAAGGTTGACAGCAGTGGTTTTTTTTTTTTTTTTCTTAAATTTACTTTTTTTATGTTATTGTTGTTGAGATGGGGTACATTGTGACATTTACAAAAGTTCTTATATCAAATATATCATAGTTGAATTCATCATTCTCTTTATATCCCCTCTCCTCCCACTCCTGGAATAGTTTCAATAGGTATCATTTCCATTTATATACACATATACACAGTATTTGTACCATATTCACCCTCCTATATACTTTCCCCACATCCTCCCCCCTCCCACTGATACCAACTTCCCAGACAGGACCTGTTCTGCCCTCGTGTTCTCTGATTTTGTAAAAAAAAAAAAAAAAAAGACATTTTTGTTTGTTTAAGATAGCAATACAGGGAATTTCCTTGTGACATTTCCATGTATTATAACATGGATTGTTCAGCTCCTCTATTTTTCTCTTTTCTACCCTAGTCCCCTTCTTATGGTGACTTCACAGGTTTAAAAATTCTATCTTCATTCTTGCATAGGAAGTGCATCTACCATATTCACCTTCTTAACTTCCTTCTTTTATCCTCCCTCTCATATGTATGGCCTCCCCTTAGGGTAACCTGTTTTTCATAACATTGCTTGTATTTGTATTAGGTCTATATTCCACATATAAGAGAAAACATGCAGCTTTTGGCTTTGTGAACCTAGATAACTTCACAGAAGATGAAATTCTCCAGTTCCATCCATTTACCTGCAAATGACAAAAATACCATTCTTCTTTATGGCTGAATAAAATTCTGTTGTATATAAGTACCACATTTTCTTAATCCATTCATCAGTAGTGGAACACCTTGGCTGTTTCCATAGCTTGGCTATTGTGAGTAATGCCGCAATAAACATGGGTGTGCAGGTGCCTTTATTATAACCTGATTTATATTCCTTCCAGTATACTCCTAGAAGTAGTATTGCTGGGTCATATGGCAGTTCTATTTTTAGCTTTTTGAGAAGACTCCATGCTGTTTTCCATAGTGGTTGTACTAGTTTACATTTGGGCCAACAGTGTATGAGAGTTCCTTACCCCTTCCCCCATCCTCACCAGCATTTGTTATTTGTGTTCTTGATGATGGCTATTCTAACAGGGGTGAGGTGGAATCTTCGTGTGGTTTTGATTTGCATTTCCTTTACGGCCAGGGATATTGACATTTCTTCATGTGGGTTTTTAGCTTTTGGACTTCTTCCTTTGAAAAACCTCTTTTCAGTTCATTTGCTCATTTCTTTATTTGGTCATTGATTTTGGGGAGGTTTAATTTTTTGAACTTCCTGTATATTCTGGTCATTAATCCCTTGTCAAATGTACAGCTGGCTAAAATATTCTTCCATTCTGTGGACAGCCTCTTCCATTTGGTGACTTTTTTTTTTTTTTTGTTGTGCTAAAGCTTTCTAATTTCATGAAGTCCCATTTGTCATTCCTTTCTCTTAGTTGCTGAGCCATTTGAGTTCTATTCAGGAAGTCATTGTCTATGTTTATTAATTCCAGTGTGTTTCCTGCTCTTTCCTGCACTAGCTTCAAAGTTTCAGATCTTTGTAAAGGTCCTTTATCCACTGTGAGTTGATACTTGTACATAGATCTAGTTTCAGTTTTCTGAATGCAGATATTTAGTTTATCCAGAAACATTTGTTGAAGACTGCTGCTGTTTTAAGTCACCTAGAAACCCTGGGTAAATGCAGAGGCTAAGCTCATCTAGATGGCTTTCTAAAATCTTGAGGGAAGGGCTGCCCTATATTTCCTACCTCTGCCTCCAGGTGCACTGTGGGGTGTGTAATCCTGACACGTCTTGCAGCCATCAGGCTGTTGGGTAGGGTCGCGTTGACTTCTCGGGTGGTGCTGGTCACGGGTTACTGATCCACACTCCTCTTTTCTCCTCAAATCAGGCAGACTGGAAGTATTAGCTAAGTAAATTCAAGGGCTGGTTTGAAACAATCAGGGTTGGTAAAATGTGTTGGCTGGGCATTTGTCATCTTAGTTATTCAAGTGAGCGATCCAGCCCTCCTGGGGTCATTCTGTTCCAGCGCCCGGGAGGAGGCCACTGTCAATTTAGAGGAAGAGGACGGTCTGTCACCTGACTAAGCTGCCTTGGTCAGGTGACAGTGTCACAGCATACTCAGCAGGAGACGCGGAAGGACAGCTCTCGGGCGGCGGGCGGCGCTTGCAGGAGCTGGCGGGAGGAGGGACAGCGGCTTTGGGCCATGGCGTCCCCAGGCCTCCTCCGGTTCACGCGCCTTGCGCTCGCGCCGCTGCTGCTGCTGCTGCTGCCGCCCGGGTGTCCCGCGCGCTTCGACCCCACCTGGGAGTCTCTGGACAGCCGCCCGCTGCCCGCCTGGTTCGACCAGGCCAAGTTCGGGATCTTCATCCACTGGGGCGTGTTCTCCGTGCCCAGCTTCGGGAGCGAATGGTTCTGGTGAGTGCGGCATCCCCTGCCCCAGGGCCTCCTCGCACCCGCTTCTGACCCACAGCCCAGTCACCAGCCCGCCCGCCCCGCTGCCTTCCTGCGCTGCCCCCGGTCGCTTGCACCTGCCGGAGTTTCCACCGGATGACCCAGTGCGTCGTGCGGAGCTTTCCTTCTGTGTGACCTCCCGTTTCCAGACACGCTGTCTGTGGATCGAGCTTCTCAGCGTGAGAGCCGTGCACCTCAGGGTGTCCGCACGCCACCGAGCGACCCGAGAAATTAATCACGTGTGAGAAATTAACGCAGGTGTCTTTGTGGTTCCGCTGCTACCTGTCGTTCTGCCACGAAGTATGGTTAAAACATATTCAGGGGTAGCGAAACGTCTGTGCATCAGGACACACGTTGGTTCTTGGGGTTTTTTGTTTGTTTTGAGACGGGGTCCGATTATGTTGTCCACTGTGGTCTCCCGTTCCTGAACCCAGTGATCTTGGGTAGGTGGAACGACCCGCACGAACCACTGCTGGTTGTTTACGTTAAAATGTTACCATGTGTGACTGTAGAACTTTTAAAAGATTTTAGAATGGTACCCTAAAACAAACATCCTCAAATTATTAGTAGACTACTATATGAAGGATTTAAAGCACAAAAAAAGGGTGCTTTAGGCTTTATCTGAAGATCAGTGTAAAAATGTGCACATGATCTCTTGAACTGTTCCATGGAACTTTTCCTGAGATCTGTATCTATTTGTCTCTACATATCTGTGTTCTTGTTTCTGATTGTCGCAGTTTTTTTTTTGTATTTAAATTTAAACAGGTTAAAAAAATGCAGGCTGGGAGTATAGTTCAGAGGTAGAGCCTATGGGGGTGACCTCCATAGGACCAAACAAAACCCCCACAAAAATAAAGAAAATGAAAGTCCTTCATGGGTCAGCTACACTTTCACTTCAAGGTATCACAAACCAAGCAGAAGGTAGTAGTAATAGGGGCTAATGATCTTATATAACAAAAAGTTTAGAAGTTGTTGTCATTGATGAAATAAAAAATGTAGGCTCCTTCTGTGGACTTGATCCTTCAGAGTCACATGATGCTGACCAGGAATCATAAACTCATACAACCTTCAACTTTGCCAAACCAGAAGGCCAGTTTCTCTTCTCATCTGGAAGGAGATGATTCCAAGAATCATTCAGGTTGCTTTCCTCTCACAGCCCACGGCCAGCATGGGTCACACATCAGTGCCGTACCTGTGTTGAATGCTGGTGAAGTGTGTACATGACTTCAGGCCCGGGAAACGACAGTGCTACCTGCATCTGAAGTCCTTAATGAAATTTTCTCAGCCAGAAGAGGATGCTGGTTATTTTGGGGATCTGGTGCTGACATTGGAACTACTCTTTCGAAAGGAGAGGAGCTAGGCAAAGTAGAGGTTGAAGGAGAGATGGGACCAGCATCTATTTCATGACCACGGCTACTGCTGGGTTCATCTACAGTGGTTTAGATGTGCTTTTCCTTAGGATGTCTTCCTGAAGCCATTTAGGCTCAATATTCTACTGCCAGGGCTGGGGGAATGGCTCAAGGGGTAAGAGCACCTGCTTAGCAGGCATGAGGCTCTGAGTTCAAGCCCAGTGCCATGTATATATAGATATAAAATATACATTTCAATGTATCTATTGAAATCAATGTACTGTTGCCCAGAATGAATGTGTTAACAAGTAACCTTGAAGCTGAGTCACAGCATCTTCTTAATTTTACTATTGCTTCCCTTTTTGCTCCCTAATCTTCTCCAAATGTGTTTTCTGCTAGTGAATATAATAGATGCATGTTTTAGTCATGTCATCTTCTCCTTTGAAACCTTAGTCACCTAGGTCACAAAGTGACTTAATATGTAAAGGCACATACATGTTGTGATTTAAGAGTGAAGAATTAAGAGAATAGTGGCTGACTTGTCTAGTTTCTGAGCTTAGAGGATTTCACAGGGAGACAGATGGAAAATGGGAGGGAGTTCTGGTTGACATAAGCTGTTCTTAGGCAAAGTCACATCATGGGGAAGTGAAAGAGAGTTTGGTAGTATTTGAATAAGGGGGAGATATTAGAGGGAGCCTGGGTCAGTATTTCAAATGTCTATGTTTGTGCTGTTCACGTGCTGTTTCTTCTCCCCGCATAGGTGGTATTGGCAAAAGGAAAAGAGACCAAAGTTTGTGAACTTTATGAAAGAAAATTACCCTCCCGATTTTAAGTATGAAGACTTTGGACCACTATTTACAGCAAAATTTTTTAATGCCAACCAGTGGGCAGAAATTCTTCAGGCCTCTGGTGCCAAATATGTTGTCTTAACTTCCAAACATCACGAAGGTAAGTACAGCACACACAAGCAAATGTTGATAATGGTTATAAACTGTGAAGTTGTTGTTTAGGAAGAAGAGATGAAATCAAGGTCATCCCTATGAAATCAGTCTTCTCTTAGGAGTAACCAGAAGTGGAGATGGATTTTTTTTTATACTTCCACATGTTCAACTTCAATTAAGAAGCTTTAGGGATATGGACAGATCCTACCCTCCACAGAACAAGAGGAAAGATGGTCATAGTTTGTTACATGCACATTTAACAATATTTTCAAGATTAAAGCTATTTGAAGTGGGATGAGTGTTGCTGGATCAATTTTACAGTTGGGATTGCACACTTCCTTTTCCTCTCCCTGTAATGCATTCTGAAAAAACATCATGGGGATGTTGCTGCTATAGTCTTGTGTCGTTACTGGCATATCTGGCTGCACTTTTGACCAATTTTTAGATGGCCAAATGGTGCCAACCATGGATGAGTTGCCAGTGATGAAAGGAAGACAGATCACCTAGAGGGAAAAATAGTTACAGGATTATAGTGGTGCCTAGAGATATCAGGGGTGGTAGAAGAATAACTAGAAGGTAACACAGTGGTCCTACATTAGCAGTCATAGCTAATTTTTGAGTCAGACTTTAAATATTGACATTGCTTTGAAGCTTATCATGAACAGCTTTGGAGTAAGTGCAAACTATTTTAAAAACTTCTTATAAATTTGAAAAGGGAGCCAATCTTAGACTTGTCCTAATTTATAAGAGTGAAGTGATTTGCCAAAGGCATCTTATGGATGTCTATTCTTAAAGATACTTTTAGACTTTAGTGGAACAGTAACAGATGCTTTTAAAACTCTAGGTACTAAGCAAAATTTTTGAGGGTTTTATATTATTTCTCAAGTATTTTAGTTTGTATATCTCTTCTAATATTTTTATATAGAACTAGCAATCTAAATGCAGATTCCTGTTAAAATATGAATTATTTCAAAGTGCTTTCTTCCTAATTTACTTGATAGATTATTCACTTTTTTCAGCAGTTCTGGGATTTGACCTCGGGGCCTCATGCTTGCTTAGGCAGGTGCTCTACCACTTGTGCTACTCCTCCAGACCGATTATTCACTTTTTGAGTTCATAACTTTAGAGTAGGATGAGATTACAAATAGCATGTATATTTGAAAACATTGGGAAATAGTGTCCTCCCACTTCCATTAAATGAGTTATCAAGCTATAGAAAATTTAGTATCTGTACACGGATCATGAATGTTCAAGAATCATACTCTAACAAATTAAACAATCCTAGCTGGGCACTGGTGGCTCATGCCTGTTATCCCAAGCTACTTGTGGGGGGGGGCGGCGCTGAGATCAGGAAGATCACAATTCAAGGCCAGTCCAATAGCTTGAGACACCCTATCTCCAAAATCACCAGAACAAAATGGACTGAAGACATAACTGCAGCAGTAGAGCAAATGCTTTGTAAACGTGAAGTCCTGAGTTCAAACTCTAATCCCACCAAAAACAAAAGCAAATAATCCTAAACCAGGCAATATCCCTTAATCTTTGGTTGAGAAGACAAATAAGAATCTTGTAGGAGTCCCTCTCAGGATCTTCACTGTAAATGGTGCTGGTCATTGTTTAGCACTGTAGAGTGGAAGATGTTCCCATTTCAGCTATGATCTGCTATTTATGGTTGATTCCTTATTATGTGTTTGTCCCTGTGCTAGCAGTTGGTTGAGGATATAGCAGGCATGATGCTATCCCTCAAGGAACCCAAAGACTGTCAGGACAAATACCAGAGATAGATCAGGCTATATAGACCTTATAATGCACCCTGAAAGTTGCTCTTAAAAACCTCGGACCCACCTAGTTTAAATTCTCACGTTTCTCTTGTAAGAGCAGAATACAGACTATGAAAAAAATTGCCATGGAACAGTCATTTGTAGAAGCAGTTATGTATATACATATATATATATATAACTTCTTTGACATTTTTATGGTAGAAATTTACTGAAGTAAAATTGATAATACAAAGATGTTTAATATCATTTTTCAGGCTTCACCCTGTGGGGTTCAGAGTATTCCTGGAGCTGGAATGCTGTAGATGAAGGGCCAAAGAGGGACATTGTGAAGGAACTCGAGGTGGCCATTAGGAAGAGAACTGACTTGCATTTTGGACTCTACTATTCTCTTTTTGAATGGTTCCATCCCTTCTTCCTTGAGGATCAGTCCAGTTCATTCCAAGAACAACGATTTCCAGTTTCTAAGATGTTGCCTGAGCTCTTTGAGCTGGTGAACAGGTATCGGCCGGAGGTTCTGTGGTCGGATGGAGATGGAGGGGCACCAGATCACTACTGGAACAGCACCGGCTTCTTAGCCTGGCTGTATAATGAAAGGTCTGTACACACTTAGATTGCTGTGGTTGTCTCACACACTCCTAATACATGGGTAACATTTTAATTCCCTTGCTTCTTGAAGTATTTAGGTGCATTCATAGTATGCAGGGAGGAAATCAATACAAATAATGCTTATTAGCTATGCCAGTGCTTTCTCAAAATAATCAGGAGTAAACACATCAGGAGTCAGATACAACTTAATTGTCTGATTTGGGAATCAGACTAAAAACCCAGGATCAAAGACTTTAAAAGTATTCATGGTATGGGTCCCTTTTTTCATCTCCTGGTCTGGTCTTTTATGGCCCATTCGTCATGCTTCTGATATGGGCTTTTCCGATTCTTCTGAATGCATTTTTTTGTAAATCCTTTTACCTTCTAACAGTCTTTGTCACCCTGTTTCTATCGCCCTTGTCTGTCTCCTCTTTTCCTTCATCATCAGAATTCTTACCTCCTCCTGTTCTTTCCTAGCCTGTTGAGTTTGCCCTGGAAAAACAGGGAGTTCTGATGGAGCTCCTCCGTTGAGCGTGAACTGGATGGACTACATTTACAGTTGTAAGTAGAGAGCACTTGGCCTTGCCCTGTGAAGTCAGGCAGCCTTCCATTGTGCTTCCAAATCCACAAAGGGCACTAATAAGAATGTTCTGGAAAACCCATGAAACTACTGAACACAGCAGTGTCTCCAGGAACTCCTTCCAAGGGGAAAGACAGGGACCCATCTTCTATAATTTGGGAATCAAAACTGTCCACTGTAAATGGAGTTGAGTCATGATAAGGAATGCTGTGGAGAACCAATGGATAGATAAACAAAACACGGCACATATACACAGTGGAGTATTATTCAGCCATAAAGAATGAAATTACATCATTTGCAGGAAAATGCATGGAACTGGAGATCATCATGTTAAATGAGATAAGCCAAGCTCAGAAAGACAAATATCATGTTTTTGCTCATATTGAAGAATCTAGGCCTAAAATTAAAAAAAAAATGACATAATTGTAAAAGGAGCACTGTTTGGGGATGGCAGCCAGTGACAATGGGGTGGGAGAAAAGAGTGGGTGACAAGTGAATATGATCAAAGCACATTATGTATGTGTATGAAAATAGCATAATGGAACCCACTAAAAACTGTTCAAAAGCAGAAGGTGAGGAGAGGAGAGTGGTTCAAGAGAAGAGTAATGGATGAATTTTATTGAAGTGCAGTAGACTCTTGGTGCTGCAGTGTATGGCTCCAAGGCGGCCACACTGAAGAAGTCGCACAGGCTCAGGGAGCACAGAGTTCATGCTGGAACGTGGATGAGCCATTCATTTTCCTCGTAGCGCTGCCCACCTTCTGCCTTTCAACAGATCTCAGAATTTCACTTTATCACTTCAATTAAACACATTCACTTTTACCTTGCTTTGGGGGAACTATTTGCTTTTTTGGGAGGCAGCTTTTCACAAAATCAAGGGTAGGAAAACTCAGCAGATCACACAACGGTTTAAACACAAGTGACGACGACACAGGACGGACTGAGTGCTTCTCCACATCCACTGAGCTGCACAGTGCATGTGTGAGAATTAAAGTTTTTTCTTTTTGAAATTTCTTTTGATTTTTTAAAAACTATTTTTTGATCGTGCTTGATCAAAACCATATAATAAACCTGAAAATAAGGCAGGCTTACTGTACATTATATGCATGTATGTAAACATCACAGTGAAACCACTTTGTAAATTAATTTATGCTAATAAGCAAAAAGAAATGTGGGGATAGTTCATCTCATGTAAATTGTCACTTTTTTTTTTTTGGCAGTATGTTTGCTAGGCAAATGCCCTACCACTCTTTTTGCTTTAGTTATTTTTCAGATAGGTCTTGTGCTTTTTGTCCAGACCAGCCTTGGACTGCAATCCTCCTACTTTCACCTCCCATGTAGCTGGAATTATAGGTGTGAGTCATTACGCTCAGTTTAGTAGTTGTTTCTTTACCTAAATTTTTTATGAAGCACAATCGTAAGGGCTAGAATATATATTTTTTGTATATATGCGTATATATATTAATCACATATATGCATATATTTGTGTGTATGTATATATGATTATTCGGTCCTTGGAGAAAAAAATGTTGAGTATTAGTTTTGGCTACCATTCACAGTGTAGGAGGAGGAGCATCAAATAATACTCTGCTGTATGAACTGAGCACTGGGCTAAGTGTTTTAATCAGATAGTTTTGGTCTATATACTATTAAGGGAGTTCATTATTCAGAGGTACTTGCTCTAGGTCTGGTAGCTAGAAATTAGCAGAGCTAGAACTCCATAGTCCCAGGTCTATTTGCCCTCTGTTATGCGAGAGTCACTTATTCAGAAGTGGATTTCAGATACACCTGTTTTCAGTGACATTGCCTTTTGTGTTAAAAGCACTTTTTCTTTTTTTAAAGGAAGCACACTTTTCTTTCAGCCCAGTTCGAGACACAGTGGTCACCAATGATCGTTGGGGAGCTGGTTCCATCTGTAAGCACGGAGGCTACTATACGTGCGCTGACCGCTATAACCCGGGTTATCTTTTACCACATAAATGGGAAAACTGCATGACAATAGACAAGCTGTCCTGGGGTTACAGGAGAGATGCCGCAATCAGTGACTACCTTACAATAGAAGAACTGGTGAAGGTACAGTAAAGTATCTGGTGGCTATTTATTTATTTATTTTGATTTTTGAGACAGGGCCTCACCATGTAGCCCAGGATGACCCCAAACTTGCTCCTCTGGCCTCAGAGGATTACAGACATGTGTCACTATGACCAGCCCTTTCAGTGGCTATTATTGTAATATTCTTAATAGTGAAGCTATATGGGAATTATTTCTTATAATTTGGACAGTTCAGTGGCCTAAAACAAAGCATTAATCTAAGCTCTGTCTATTTTTCTAGATAGTGACTATATACATATAAAAATATAATGTATTAACATATGGAGGTTGGGATTTTTTTTTCTAAGACCTGTAATTATTCTTAATTTTTTAGCAACTTGTGGAAACAGTTGCATGTGGAGGGAATCTTCTGATGAATATTGGCCCCACACTAGATGGCATCATTTCTGCAATTTTCGAGGAACGATTAAGGCAAATGGGGACCTGGCTAAAAGTCAATGGGGAAGCCATTTATGAAACCCACACTTGGCGATCTCAGAATGACACTGTCACCCCAGATGTGTGGTAAGCCTTACTGGTTACCAAGTATTATTTAATAGAGGGAGGCATTTAAAATTTCTTGGAGATATAAAGAGAAAAGCAGGATAAATGTTGAAATCAGAAGTCTACTGTACAAAACACTTTCCAGCTTCACTCAGATACAAAGAGAAGGAATGAGAAGAATCGGAATGTTTTTGAACGTAATGTTTCTCAAACTGTTTAAATCATTTCTAGAGATATTTAAGAATGGTGGTGGACAAATTTTAGCTAAAAAGTAGCTAGCTCTTATAAAATTGTGAGCCATTCAGATAAGTGAAAAATAACCATTGGTTAACCTGAAATAGACTACTGTTTAGTCAGTTTGATAAATTCTTTTTTAGACATTACATCTAAACAAATTAGCAAGCAAGAGGTAACCAAAGAAATAGTAGATCAAAATCAGCCAAAACAGAGAGGATTCTGGGAAGATGGCAGAGTAGGGAGCACCAGGAATCTGTCCCCTACCTAGACAATAGTTGTACTGGTAGAATTTGTCTGATGGCCAATAGCATAATAAAAGATAGTTAACATCAGTAATGACTATGGAAATGCAACCAACACCACAATGACACACCACCTCCCAGCCATTAGGATAGCTAGTATTTAAAAAGAAAAGAACGCAAGTGTTGGTGGTGATGTTTTGCAGGATAAATCTTGTACCTGCATGGGAATGTGAAGTGCCCACCAGGTTGCTGTGCAAAAACAGTTCCTTACAAAATAAAAATAGAAATTACTACACGATCTAGTAATTTACTTTCTGGGTCATTTATTCAGAAGTTAGAGAACAAAATCAGGGTCTAAAAAGATATTTGGTTGCCATGTCACAGCAGAATATATTTCACAATAGCTTAACAGTGGATGCAACCCCTGCCCACTGACAGATGGATGGTTAAGCAAACGCTTGTATGTAGATTCAGTGTGGCACTCTGTAGTAGTCAGTAATGAGGGAGAAGAAAATCAACCATTTTCTGTACAATGTAGATGAAACTTGCGGACATTTCGTGAAGAGAGTGACTCAGTCACCAAAAAAGACAACTAGTTATGATTCCAGTTGATGAGGTACCAAGAGGATTCAACTCATTCGGACAGAAATAGAATAGTGACTGCCAGGAGCTAGGGAGAGGCGAATGCGGCAGTTACAGTTCATTTATTTATTTATTTTGGGGGCAACTGGGTTTGAACTCAGGGCCTCACACTTGCTATGAGGTGCTTTTTACTGCTTGGGCCACTCACCAGCCGCTTTTATGTGAGGGACTTTTTTTCGAATGGGTCTCAGAAACTATTGCTTCAGGCTGGCTTGAACCATGGTTCTCCTGATCTCTGTCTCCTGAGTAGCTAGATTATAGCCCCTGGCACCTGTTTACAGTACTGCTAATGGTATAGGGGTCCCACTGCGTGTAATTAATCCATTGCAAACATTCTTTTTTTTTAATTTTACTTATTCTTTTTATATTTTATTATTCATTATGTGATACCAATGCTTGGGTCATTTCCTCCCCCTGCCATCACCCCCTCCCTTTCCACTCACTTCGCCCCCCCCTTTCTCCCCCCACCCCTCAATACCGGCAGAATTATTTTGCCCTTATCTCTGATTTTGTTGAAAGGAGAGTATAAGCAATAATAGGAAGGAACAAGGTTGTTTTGCTGGTTGAGATAAGGATAGCTATACAGGGAGTGACTCACATTAATTTCCTGTGCGTGTGTGTTACCTTCTAGGTTAATTCTTTTGATCTAACCTTTTCTCTAGTTCCTGGTCCCCTTCTCCTATTGGCCTCAGTTGATTTTAAGGTATCGGCGTTAGTTTCTCTGCGTTGAGGTCAACAAATGCTAGCTAATTTTTAGTGTCTTACCATCCTCACCCCTCCCTTGTGTGCTCTCGCTTTTATCATTGCTCAAAGTCCAATCCCCTTGTTGTGTTGCCCTTGATCTAATGTCCGCATATGAAAGAACATACGATTTTTGTCTTTCGGCCAGGCTAACCTCACTCAGAATGATGTTCTCCAATTCCATCCATTTACCAGTGAATGATAACATTCGTTCTTCTTCATGGCTGCATAGAATTCCATTGGTGTAGATACCACATTTTTCTTATCCATTTGTCACTTAGTGGGCATCTTGGCTGTTTCCATAAACTTGGCATATGAATAGTGCCTCAATAAACATGGTGTGCTAGTGCCTCTGGAGTACCTGTGTCAAGTCTTTTGGGTATATCCCCAAGAGTGGAATTGCTGGATCAAATTGATAGATCATGTCTAGCTTTTTAAGTAGCCTCCAAATTTTTTTCCAGATGGTTGTACTAGTTTACATTCCCACCAACAGTGTAAGAGGGTTCCTTTTTCCCCGAATCCTTGCCAACACCGTGTTGGTGGTGGTGTTATGATGGGCTTTCTAACAGGGGTGAGGCAGAATCTTTTTTTTTTAATTTGCATTTCCTTATTGCTAGAGATGGTGAGCATTTTTTCATGTGTTTTTTGGCCTTTGAATTTGTTTCTTTTGAGAAATTTTCTGTTTAGTTCATTTGCCCATTTCTTTATTGGTTCATTAGTTTTGGGAGAATTTTAGTTTTTTAGTTCCCTATATATTCTGGTTATCAGTCCTTTGTCTGATGTATGCTGGCAAATATTTTCTCCCACTCTGTGGGTGTTCTCTTCAGTTTAGAGACCATTTTTTTGTTGATGAACAGAAGCTTTTTAGTTGTGTATGAAGGTCCCATTATCTATGCTATCTCTTAGTTGCTTTGCTCGCTGGGGTTCTATGAGAAAGTTCTTTACCCATACCTACAACTCCAGAGTATTTCCTACTCTTCTCTTATCGACTTTTAGAGTTTGTGGTCTGAATTTTAATCCTCATGCTCCATTTCGAGTTAAATCTTGCCTATAGGTGATTATACACTGGATCTAGTTTCAGTTTTTGCAGACTGTA